GGTCATCATGCCAGGCAGACGCATTCTGTCACCGTATCCCCGATGGCCAGGACCGTAAGGTGCCTCCCTTTCCTGCTTCTCTGCAAAGAACCAGCTATTACTTATCTATAACGGAAAGGATTAGGTACCTTCCTTGGCTTTTAATTGAATGAGTGTTGGGGCCTTGGTGTAGTGAAATGCTGCTGATTCACTTTGGGAGGCGGCGAGGGACAGATGCTGTTCCCAGCACCGTTGGGCTGCACCTCCCGCCCTCCCTGGGGACACGGGCTGTCTCGCAGGGTGCCTCTAGGTTGCAAAGGCTACGGGTGCTCAGTCCTTTTGCTGCTTGGAGGGAGCAAAATGAGCTTCTGCCTTTTTTTTTTTTTAATAGAAAATTGAGGCATACACATGGGAAATGCAGTCCCCAGGGGATGCTGGAGGAGGGCTGGGCAGGAGTGGAAAGCCACTGGGATGCTCTGTCATCGCCTTCATCACTTGGAGCAGCAAACCAGAGCAGGCTCCCGCTGCTAACCAGCGTGATCCTTACCCAGCACGTGCCCTGGGTTTGGGGGGATCAGCGGGGAATTCTGCTTTCCCACCGGAGTAAAGCGATGGGAGGCTGCGTCCTTGCAGGTTAATGCCGCAGAGGAGAGAGACATCACAGGGAAAGCACTTTAGCAATCTCTTAAAGAAATTGGTTACATATAGTATTCCCCTGTGTAACTGTATCACGATTTTAAGATCCATTTTTCCACAATTTTACTGGGTCTGGAAGCATGGCTCCCGCAATTTGTAGATAGCATCACAAAAAGCTTATCAGCTCTGTGGTACTTTCCATGTGTGTTATTTCACGGATGTGCTTGCCTTTCACCTTGTTTTCATCAGCCTTGCCTGTGTGAAATGCTGTCTTGCTAGGCAGAAATCACAGCATGGGTTAAAAAAAAAAAAAGAAAAAGAAAAAAAAAGCCTTAAAACGTGGGGTATTATGGCTTTTCCAACTCCTGTCCCTGGGACCCTGAAGGACTTTAGTTTCTTTTAGAGGGGAGTTTCGGCTTTGTGGCTCCTCTGGCTGCCCCTGCAGTCCAAAACAGGGGCTGGGGGCTCAGGAGTATTTCGCTTTTTTTCTTATACTGGAGCAGGTGTCCCTTCCCTGGGCTGGCTCAAGACCAAACCTAATTTCTGTAGGGACCAGAGGGAAATATAATGCTGGCAAAGAAGCTCGCCGTCCTACTTCTCTGCCTCTGCTGGCACGGGGGCAAAGGACTGGGTTGCAGTTTTGTCATTAGACAGCGATGCTGGGGTCTGGGGAGGGTGGCAGGGCTGGTGAGGGGCTACCGGTGTGTGCCGTGGGGCTGGCTGGACACGGCACAGGCCCTCGGTGGTGCTGGTGGCTTTGGATGCTCAGCATTAGGTTAGCGCAGGACAAACGCCAACATGAGTGGACGGAGAAAGCTGCTGTGGATAGCAGT